ACTTCCCGCCACCCCATCAGTGTTCGTGTCCAGCCCCCTATATATCCTAGAAGTTTGAGCGCTCTGGGTCCAAAGGGAGTGAAGTTATGAATTTCCGGTCAGACACACACACAACCGCTTAGCCGATTATATATAGTAGGATGGGTGATGGCGATTTTCGCAGTTTCGGCCCACCTATTGCAGTGAAGAATTTCGTATACGACATCACTTATCGGTACAAGATAAATTCTATAGAAAAACATCCGGAGCTTGGTAGGAAACACTCACACCTAGTCCTCCGCAGGATTCTGCGCGGAATGTGTTACCAGGGAATCCGTTTCCGGGTTCCAAGTCCGTGATCCTGCTTGAGGAGTTAATTGATCCACATTTATCGTCTTTACACAAACCCTGTGTGGCGCAGCGCTTGCTATCGACAATTTTATGGGTGGTGTCTCTTGTGAAGAGTTCGGTTTTTGCTTCGCAGCGTAAGTCCACTGAATTCCATTTCAACCGGACTTCGTGTATGTGAGTCTTGTTATTAAGAAAGACGGAGGCATGCTTCTCGCTGGGAGCTTTAATTTTGAGGACCTCTGATAGCCGTATCTGACATGGTCCTGAAGTATGGTCCGTGCAAACGGTTGAGTAGTGGTTGAATATTTCGATCATCCGACATCCAGCCGAAATCTGGAAGAGTGAACATATTATTGCTACTATTTCGGCCAGGTTCCGACGACGAGTGATCGCCCGATTTGTGCGGCTGTTCCCCAAACTTTTCATCTTGCGAACGACAAAACGAACGTAAAGGAATACGTAACATCCTGTGATCACGAAGCAGATAACTGCCATCGCGCCAAGTATTCCCCCGTCGGCACTTCGGGTGTCACGATGAGAATTATCTGAATGATAATTTGTATCACAGTGAACAAAGACAACCCACTTAGACGAAAAATGGGCGACGGAGGATGGTCGCATTCGTCGTAGTTAAGCCGTGGTCATTTTCGGAAGTTGCAGCGACGATTTTTCGCTCGCGATGAGTCTTGGTCTTGATCAGTCAATAGCGTCTCATTTGTAGGATTTCTCTGACGGTCTACTGGCCTTGTCCTTTTCTTGGTCTTCTGACTTGGTCTTAGTTTCGCTATTGAGGGAGTTGTCTAGCTCAAGTGGCACTAGGAGATTGATTGGCCGTCGAATTAGTCGTCTTGAAAGGTAGTCGTACCACCGCTTCCCGTGTTGTTCCGTTGGTAATGGTGAATTATTCCTGTTTTCCACAGGTGACGTGGTAGTACAACTTCACATATTAGGACTAAGGCTCCTTCACGGGGGAGTTGGGAAGATCCCTTCTTATGACCCACATTCAAGATGTGCTTTTCGCGGAGCTCTGTAATGTATTGACTTTGCCACACTTGCCAAAATTTTTCCGTCAATTTGCACGATGATTCCAATGCTGCGATCGCTTGTTGTTTGGTTTGAATCGCGGGGATTTCTTTCGGTGGAATGTAATCAAGGTCTTGATCCTTTTGAGTAAGGAGAGGAAATGAGAGTAAAGGTGCTTATGTAGAAAGTCTATTGGTCGAAGGGCTACGGTGTTGTCCAAATCGGTAGTGGCGTACGCCAATGGACGTGTATTAAGCATGGACTCTATTTTGACCGCGAGTGTTAGCATTTATTCAAATGACCAGTTTAGCTCCGCACGCAACCGCGCGCATCACATGGTGGGCTTCAGTGAAACTGGACAACTTGCAGAATATTAGGTCACGTGGCTGAGAAACTAACAGTAAGATGTTTGGAAGATGTGTCACATGAAGTTCAAAGGTTGTCCAATTTCGCTGAAGATTGTCGCGTAATGCGCGCAGTAGCATGCGGAATGAAAATGTACTTATCATGACTTCGTAAACATTTAGCATTGATATCGAGCTCGGATGATTTAGCGGTTTATAGAATTTCCACAATTGAAGAATCGGTGTGTAAGTGAAATATAACCAATCAATCAGCATCTAATCGAGCTATGATGGAAATTGCAAATATAATGGAAATTCGCTATTAGTCCAAGTGCAGATAGTTGAGCAGCCCAACTTTCTTAGCTTCTTAGCTTCTTTGGATGAAACGATAGGAATGGAACATATCTCAGGTAAAATGATTTTTTCTTCCTAGTTTCTTCCATTCCACTCTTGTTTAGTGAAAAAGGTTTGCCTCTTAAACATATCAAAAATTGAGTTGATTTTATTCAGCAGATAAAAGTTACAGTCGAAGGAGTATTCCACCGAAGACTTTTAACACGTTGACGACATTGTGCAGCGCATGCGCATCACACCTTGAGCACCGTGTGGGACCGTGTGCAGCGCATGCGCTGCACACACAAATTATTTATTTTTTTCGCGCATGCGCTACTTCTTTTCTAATTTTTTGCATCTATTCTATAGACCACACCATAATATGACTAGACACGGCGAGGTTCATTGAATGGTTGAATATGCTCCTTTTTAGCGAAGGTTTTCCTAAGTCACGAATTTCCCAATTGTGTTCATTCCTAGTTTTCTTTATAATTCTGACAATCTTGGTCATAAAAAAGAGTAGTAGAAGTAAGTACAGGCCTACACATATGGCAAGATACATGTATTTAGTGGAGCAACCATGTCAAAAATAATTTTGAGGTTTACTACATCAAAAGCAACTGAAACTTGCCTTTTCATTGCCAGAAAACTTCAATTTAATCAGACTTTTACAGTTGTTATCCTCTGAATAAGCCTTGACACATCGAATATCATTCGAAACATTTTGTTGCATCCGAGTTTTGCGTAGTTGAAAGCTCAAAATTCACATGTTTTATGTGAGTTGGCGGCGCCTGCAAAATCGCCGTGGTCCCACGCGGTGCAAAAACCCAAAACGCGCGTTGTCGTCAACGTGTTAAATACTATTGTATCTCAGACCTGGAGGAAGCGATTACGATAAAGAAATGACGCATCGGGGAAGTATATGAGCCACACCAAGCATTAACTTGGCTAACAAGGACGTGGGATGTGGCGCTTCCACGACGAAAGGTGTCCTGGATATTAAGTGGGACCTCCGCAACACTCCGCCGCGAGAGCTTACGCCCACTAGTAGAGCCTTAAGCGAGCTGTTGCTGTTGGCTTTTTTTCGGAAAGATTATTTCATTCTTGCGGCTGTATCTTCCAACTTGCCCATGTAATGCCTTATCAATCAGAAACTATGCTTGTTGGCATGATGGCGGCTATCGGGGTTAACACGTCCGAACAACTTCTTCCTTCGCCATCGCTCACTCGTGGTCGAAAATGAACACGCAATTGAGGGGGTACTATTAGGCGTTTCAAAAAGTTCTGTCGTTTTTTGACACTCCACTTTTGGATGCTTTATTTTCTTGAAACCCAGAAAAACTGCAATCGGTATGAATGTCCGTTTTGAAGAGCTTTTCCTGCTCTATCCAATGCTTAGCTCAGCTTTGTCCTAAACATTTTCTTATAGCTTTTCAAAGCTTTGAATGCGGTATACTCGATGAGCAAGTTGGCATGACTTTCTTTTTCTAGCTTTAAATAGACCTGAAAGTAGCGGGAACAGTTCAAGATATTAACGATGCACTTGGCCTAGATTCGCAATAAATGTGCTCATAAGCAGTAGTTCAAAAGTTATTGTAACGAAAGCGAGAGCCTTGGGTATGATACTAGTGGTGGTCGGATATCGGACGTTGCCACCGATTAGCCAAAAGTTCTGATTGAGGCACTCGTGCGTAAGACCATAGAGGAGGTTCTGCCCAACCTGGGCGTATATGGTTTGTAGAGCCAAGCTATACGGAAGTAGCTGGAAAGTCCAAAAAATTTGATAGGGGCGTGCCGCGACAAATCACCAATTTGAAGGGTCGTCCATCAAATTGTAGCTTGTTTTATGTGATAAAAGCGACTCGTTTTTCTACAGATTTGCGACGTACAATAAAGAGCGGATTCTTCTCTACAGTCCACGAAGCTTTGCTGAATAGATCGACGGCGATGAAGCTCTACAAACTGTGCAAAACTTAAACTGTGCTGAAGGAGGGTTATGGCAACTTTCATAAGGTCGAGCGGCTGGCCTGGTTCTTCCGCATAACCAGGAACTGTTACAGTGGAAAAGCAGTCTTAACATTACGCCAAAATTCACCAAAAACTCCAAGACATGTGTCCAGCATTCCTCATTATAAAGGGGTGGACACATCCTGAAAGGTGTCTTGGACGCACATCGCACGCCAACCCTTCACAAGTTGTACCAGCTGAACTTCAGAGTGGTTCTGCGAACATCTTACTTAGTAGACCTTGATCTATCTACTGTCAATTTCTGACGATCTCGATAGCTTCCTTGAAGAGAAATACATCAAAACCCAACATGATGCTAAAACGACCTTCCCTCAGTTCATCGCCTCAACAGCTCCAGCATTCTGAACAAGCGTTCCCAGTAGAATGGTTCCTTATAGAGAAAGGTTCGCGCATTCGAATGGTTTTTAATCAGCTTGAAAGGTTTACTTTATGCCGAGATACATGCATTTAAAATTCGGGGTCGGAAATCGACAGAACTTTCTGAAACGCCTAATACTTTGCGTATTCTTGGTGATTTCTCCTTTTTTCGGCTAAAGCGTGTCATTGAGCACCCTCACATCCCCTCTGAAACCCTCCAATGTATATCGAAGTCGCTGCCTTTAGGAGCTACAGCAACGAATCTTCGAACTGAACTTGGACATTACTTTGATCGACGATTGTCGACAGGTGGTATGAGGATGGCGACTGCGAGCAAATGTTAACGCAGACTCACAATCAGCAGAGCCGCAAAGGGCGTGGTAACTATGACGTCATTGCAGAGTGCTGCTCAGAACCATCCCAATTTTGGTCCGAAGTGAATACTGACTTCGATACATGGATCAAAGAATCAATCTTCCATTTATCTGTCATTCTTATTGATAGGCAAGACTTTTTGAAAACACAATTTGTGGTAGCTGCCTGGTGACGGACACTTGAGTTTGTTGACACCAAATCTATGATTGATTAGTTCTCAAGTGTGGCGAATTTCGTGTAGACAACATCATCAATTTTCCCTTCATGCCCAACGATCGAGCGGCCTACTCCGAAAAGTCTGGAAAATGGTGATGTCATATCTGTGTACAACTGACTACTCATAGAATCCGCAGTCACACCATACTGAAACAAACAACTGTGTGTAGAGAAGCACATAAACAACAAGAACATTTATTCTAGTAACTTTACCAAATATCACTTCCTGCAAACCCCATATGAGTTTGCAACAATCTTGAGTTTTCTTGTACAATCGTATCTGCGCATGCGATTATACTTTGGAGACATCTGGAATAAAGTAACAATTTTAGTATTCAGCATCTCTTTTCTTTCACGCTTGAAGGCCCACTGCAAATCGTTCATCAGTGAAGGTGCAAAAAAAGATCTACAGTTAAAAGTATCTCCAAGTATATTCGATGATTAGCCCCGGACTCCCCTCTCAAAGCAACCACCCTGAATTAGGTCGCGTCGGAGAACCTATTCTGTAGGTGGGATAGAGTAGCCCACGAGTATCATAGATGTGCCTTTGTCGCGGCTCGAAGGTGCGCGAAAAAGCCTTAAGGGCCTCAAAAAGTGATTTGAGGGGGCTAATGGAAGCTTTGGCGGAAGTAGTGTAGTGGCTAGTGTTGACCAAGTGCCCAGTCCTGAGATCGAATCCAGGTTGTGCGTCGTCCAGGAACCAAGCCTTCCATCCCTCCGGGGTCGGTTAATTGGTACCAGACTTGTCTGGGAGGATAAAAACACTGACTTGTACATCGGCTGGCCCCCGCAAGTCATTGTATAGGCCACATCGCATTCAAACGCCACTACGAATGTACAAATGGAAGTAGAATGCGTGCCGCATCCCAAAAAGGGATTGATCAACGGCAAATGCTTTATCCTTTTATCCTTCGAACTTATGGTTAGGGACGAAATACTTCTTGCGCAGCCTATGACACGCGGATTACGGCGTAGCCGCTTATACGATTCGCGCGAGTTAACCCTTTGACGACAATGGCACCCACAGGTGGGTGCCACTATGCGGGTCGTGTGGGACAATGGCAACCAATGGTGGGTGCCACCTTGAAATTTCCTTCTTTGCGCATGGTGTCATAAGTGGAA